AACAGTTGAGAGATAAACTTCGCTCTGTCTGCTTCTCCGACAATCGGGTCGCGCGCAAAATGACGGGATATATCGCGGCCGACCGCGATAGTTACGTGAATATGCGGGGAAAGAGAGGAGGGAAGACAGAGATGGGGGTTAGCCAACATTGTCGAATCCTCATTGTTGGCGCGAGCGGACTGTAAATGCGGCAATAATCCCTACGTGATATATAATTATGTCTTACGTGGCACGTTATTACAGATAGGCTGTGTGCGACTCTCGCGGCCTCGCGCGCACACACACACACACACACACACACACACACACACACACACACACACACACACACACACACACACACGCACATCAACGTATCCTCGACACCTCCTCCGAAATCAACCCTCTCTCTCCGTTCTCTCTAGGGACCGTTATCTTCTCCTACCGGTGCATCTGCCCCGACTAGCAGGTAATACGAGCCTCATATGTAAATCCCATTCTGATTAACATTCACGTGTACCAACACGCAGAGGGCCCTACATCACACAGGGTCGACCCTCCTCAACCTCATGCACCTCCATCTCCTCCTCCTCCTTCGTCTGCTCACCACTTACTCATAACTGCCTCCTGATGCAAGCGCAAGCCTCTCTCGCGCGCGAACTTGTTTGCGGCGAAATTTCGCCGGCCAGCGTAATACGTGACGCAAAATTACATTAGGGTATTACGTGACGTAGCGCTGCCTTGACATATTAGAGAATATATTATTTTTACGTTATACGCAGGCTGTTGTCGTGAAGGCCGTCAGTTCTCCATCGACGAGATGTTATATCGCGTTATAAACACCGTGAGACAACTCGCGTGACGCAAAGCGCGAGGATATCGAAATCGATATTTCGTCAACGTTCGTGCGAACGTGACTTCTCGAACCATTAGGGTCTTCGCGGTGATTTATTTATTTTGCTTCAATGCGTTCGACAATAGAAAGAACCAGAACAAGCGCCTCGGCTCGAAGAAACCGCCGCCGTCGCCGCGGCGTAATGAGTTTGCGCGCTCGAGCGCGCGCGACCGCCCGTCTTTGTTTGCGACGTGAAAAAAGTGATCATCGGTATTCCATTTGCTCGGAAATATTCCTTCGTATTCCGCCTAAATAAATTTCACCCTCCCTTTTCTCAGTCGGATGAGATACGCCTCTCATTTCGAGGGCGCCTCGCGCTCGAGAGAGGAATGTCGACCGATTCTCTCATCCTCTCTCTCTTTCTCTCTCTCTCTCTCTCGGCTCTTCTCGCAATTCGACGCGATGTATGAAGGAACGAGAGAAGGCGGAACTTGCATGCGCGCGCCTTGCCGCACGCTGTAAACTTTCGCCGCTTACTGTCGTTTAAGGCGCCGCAAATCTTCGCCAGGTTACCCATTTAAGACTCCGTTGTGTGTTGTCGAATTATGCTCCGACGAAATGGAGTTACTCCCGGTACAGGTGAGTTCCGGGAAAATTTGACGGGGATAAATCGTTAACTCTCGAGATATATACTGCGCGTGCGGGGGTTTTAATCGTCGCTATAGCGCCGACGGTTACTTCGGCTTTAAAATTTCATAGATCACACAATTCCGGAATGCGTGGATATATGTTTGTGCGTGATATATTTTTTTGTTTTGTTAAGCGAGAAAAATTTGTAATATTTATTACAACGCGCGCGCGATGCATTAAAAAATATAGTACGGCGCAAATAATCAACAGGCGCACACACACACACACACAGCCGAGAGAAAATAATATTATAAAACTAGATTTATTTTAATAACCGCGAAATTAAATTCATACTTTTTCTCTCTTCGTAGTATATAGTGTCGATATTTTTTTAATTTATTCCATTGTATAATTCTCACACGTGCTACGTGAAAGATGTGTGCATACACCTCCTTTGAACTACGCAATGAATAATACGTAATTTTGCCGCTTCCGCTAATTGCAACACAATCACGCATAATTACAGGGAATTTCCTCTTCCAACAGCGTTCCTCGAGCTCTCCTTACCGCACCGTGGCGTGCCTCTCGCCTCGTTGGACCCCTTTAATTTCCGAATAATATATTTTGAGATTAAAACGCTATTCCCCGGCGTTATGGTGTTACGTAAGCTGCGAAGGAAGCGCGAGAGCGCGTTATGAACGCCTTTTCCGTCCTCCGCGAGCCGTAATTGCGCAATATCCTGGCTTAACCTGACTTGTACTTAAGCTAAACCCGTTCTAAGTCTGTCAAACAGATCGTTATCCAAATATTTTCGCCTCGCACGCGCGAAATCTATTTCAACACCTTGACATTCTTCCTCGTTAGCTTCTCAAATCTCATGAAAAAAATGTTATTATTTCGTAAGAAGGAAAAAATCAAAGAGCCTATGGTCCAGGTTAGAGGTGGACGTTCAAAGGTCTATACCAAAAAATCAAATTAATAAGAATAAACAATATGAAGTGTTAATCAGTAAGTGCGATAAAATTTGAGTCAAAAGAAAAGGCAATATGTATATAAAAAGTCGAAGTAAAGAAATGTAAAAGTCAAAAGAAAAAATTAAAAAGTCAATGAATAAAACTATAAGAGATGTGATAAATAAATAAATAAATAAAGATAAAAATGTGTGTGACACTTATAACTATGAGATTAAAAATCGAGTTGAAATGTCGTAGCACTCGTTAACACACAAAGAAACGGAACAGAGCATGAACGTCCCATAACACGTATAATACGCGTATGAGGGGTGTCAGAAATAAAATCAAACTCGAGAAATAGAGAGAGGAAGAAAAGAAAAAACAGCACGTGACAAGGAACACGTGACTAATGAAGCTTCCTAAGAACAGGAGTGTAGATAGCATCAAGAAGTTCGGCATCTTTCATTAGATTGACACTCGCCTCTTGTGTTTTTATACGCAACGTTTCTGAGATTAGTTTCTTTTGTGATAAAACTGTTCCTTTTGTCTAAAATTTCCACTTTATCCCACTGGAAATCATGATCTACAAGATCACTACGGTGTCGATTAACAACAAAACTGCCGTTTCGTAATTTTGATAAAAATTACGTTGGCGTTCCGCCAATCTTGTCCGTAAATTGCCTACATAAGAGGCGTTTCACAAGAAGAACAATTAATTTTGTAAATTATGTTGCTGTTCGAGCCATGTTCCAATTCATCTTTGTGCGACTTGATGAATCTTTTTTTTAAAGTGTTCAAGGGTCTAAAGAAACATTTGAAATTCTTTTTCTTTAGAAGATCTAGCCAGATTGTCCGTAATCTCAGAAACAAGAATAAAAACGGAAGAATAAAAAACCTCTCATCCTCTCTCATAACATCTTTCGATACAATTTCAAGATTAACATCAAACCTTGTCAAAAACAAATGGTAATCTTTTGTTGAGAAACTTAAAGTCTAACGAATAGTCATTAGACAATAAAATGATTATAATAACTATTGGATAAGAGTTGTCTCTGTGAAATTTTGTTATTATTTCGTAAAAAATAAAAAAAAAAAACAAATCCGACTTCGTTCGAGAATAAGGTATCCGAGAAATAGCTCGTTGAACTTCGAGAAATTTGTGCAATGAATCACGCAAATTAATCACGTTCTCCGCGCGATTAAGTCGCGTCGTTCGAATATCTCGCGACACGCGTGCGGCATGCATTTCGACCGTGTTTAATATCGCGTATCGCCTCTCTCTCTCTCTCTCTGCAGAGCGCAATACTCCGCGCGCGCACTGGAAGCGGAGGTTTTCCAAAACTGCGCCGCCGGATCGCGAAATATGTGATCCACCGCCGAGAGAATTCGCAGTGTCTTGGTGAACATCTTGAGAATGTGAACATCGCAGGAATCCGGCGAATGTTTTTCGCGTAATGGCAAAAGTCGCATTATTTGACGTTCCTCCCGAAAGGTTCGAAGTAAGAATGGAATTCTGGCAATATACTTTCAAGAAAGAGAGAGAGAGAGAGAGAGAGAGAGAAAGAGAGAAAGACAAAAGTCAAAAGTAGCAAAAACGACGCGCGAGGAGTATATAACAGAAATACACTCGGCACACTGATATTCCGAAATACACACGGCGAGAAGTGCACGGTTTGCTAGAATCGTCATCACCAATTCTTTCGTCAATTTGAAGTCTGTCTTTACGCGAAGTTCAGTCGCGCGCGACACATATCCGTATTTGCTGTCCCAAAAACACACATTTACACATTTTAAATAGAGTAAAATTGGAAGTAGGTAACACACCTTCTCGCACACAGGAAGTGCATTGCTAATTCAGTTACGACAATAATAAAAATGTTATAAATGTTACAATATAAAACCAACGCGTCGGTACGAAGTTGTTCGCGAATTGTTTTCGATTCCGTAGATTTGCGTCGGTTTGCGATTTGTCATGCGGCACAACAAAAGATAGACACGTCACGCGGCGCGAGACGCAACGTGGATAAATTTTTGCCGCATGATGAATGTACTTTAATTCATCAGACTTTGCGCGGATCCACCCGGCCCGCATGAGCGATGTTTGTCACACCGAGGAAGAATCCATTCGTGCACGTCCACGTTTCTGCAGCGTGCCGAGGAATATATTCGCGGCAATGAAGTCTGCCGGGACTATGCCAGTTGTAACTGGCAGCTAAATTAAACTTTGTTTATCAGCGCATAACAATTTTGCATTTTTCGTCGCGACAAACTTTACGAGCGACTCCACGTTGCATCAGAAACTTGCTGTTCTTCGTTTCGTTTCACATTTTCCAACGTGAAAACAAACAATTTATCGTTATTTGTCAAAATCTGTCGAGTGTTTTTTTTTTAAATTAAAATTATCATCTTTAGAGGCGAAACGTGAGCCGAAATATTTTACATACGTACGCGTAAACACACTTCGGACGATGCCGCGAGGAATATATTTTCCAGAAAATATATTTCCGGCATTTATATTTGTATTCCCGTCCGGCTGAGGTAAAAGCGAAATCGACATGGCGCGAGATTAAAAGATGTCGTGCGTGCGCTTGGCAGCAGCTTACCTTGTACGTAGAAAGGTTCGCCACGACGCAGGAAAGGACAGCCTCTCTTCCCACCGGGACCGTCACGTTTGCTATTGGCTCGCTGAAGCTCGGTCCCTCTGAAACAGGGCAAAACGTTTAATGCTAAGTGACCTATTAACAACATTTTGTTATGTATATCGTCTCCCGACCACGCGCTCAAACGCTATTACCGCGCACGTGTAATAACGGAAGAACGGCGCGAGATTATCGCGATCGGGGGGTGACGCTAAATTCATTCCGTCGTGCGCGTCTCGCACAATATTCAAGAAATATACATAATAAACTCCGTGAGATTTTATATTGCAAAATTAACAATTTATCCGTTAAATTAAATAAAACCAAAATATTCGCGGTAATATATGGAAAAATACTCCGCTTTTTTTTTTTGGCAATCATGTAAATCCAAAAACTCCGAATAACGTCACGAACATTTGCACATTTGTTCAATATTTGCACAAAGGACCACGTTAATTGTCACACAGACGATGAAAAATTGAAACAAACGCATATAAAATTGTATAAAACTTATAAAACGCATATAAAAGTGTATAAAACTTTATTTTGTAAAATTTTTTCTCAATTTTGGATGTGTGCGAAATAGAACACACACTGTGTGCTTCTGGCGCGACAAAACGCAACATCGAGTCTCTCTCGTCGGGACTCGCAAAACAGCGAAGAGAAGTCGAAGGAGAAACATCCGAGAGTATCCGGTAGATTCCCGCGCCCAGAATCCGGCAAATGACGCGTGACACCGCACGTGTTCTAAGTAACTCATTTCCGGTGTTTCGCTGTATCGGCACACTGCCGAGAACTTACCGACGCGAAACGGGTTTTGGTTTTGCGCGACACATCACGCGTGACAGACTGCTGTTCGGGAGCAGCGAACGCAACGCCAGCACGTGCGCCGCAACGTGAAATGTGTCTCCGCGTATCCATCGCGAAATGTTTGTCGCTTCTCCTGCGCGCGCGTTGGGGAAGTTCTGAATATCATTACGGCGTTCTCTTGTCTCGGCGTTCGTTGCCGGGAATGCACTCGTTCCCGTTGTAAACGCGCGCATTCTCCGCTTCGCACTCCGTGCCGGTCCGTCTTCGTTTCGCGGTGACAGGAATTATTTAAACAGAGCTATTTACGTCACGTTGCCGCCGCGAACAAGGCGGGACCGAAGTAACCGCCCTGCATGGCAATCGCGTCTCATCTTCGAAGACGACGCGGTGGTCATGTTTTGATCTTTTTTTCAGGAATTCGCGCTCTCAAAAGCCGGAGCGAATCAATCACGACGGATACGTGTCGCGAACGGATCGAGATCCGCGCTTTAATTCCCGGAGCAAATATTGCAATAGATATATATATATAACACGTATATACCGCGCGAAGGTGTCTATCGGAAGAAGAACGTGTGCGAGGGAAGGATGACGAGGATGCGAGGAGGCCGGAACACGGTTGTGCGCCAACAGATAAGCACTGATCCCAATTACACGTCGGAATAGAGCTGTTCCCCCCTCCGGCTAAACGGATCATGGATTATTGACTCCATCGCGATTACTCCGCGGTCGTCGGCACAATTGCCAAATCGATACACCTTCGGACCTTCTGTGTTCGGAGCCGCGAAACGAGCCCGCCGGAAACAATTTTAGCCCCGTTTCGGGCATCGTCCGAGCGCATTTTTTTCTCGCAAATCTCAGACGTTTCTCGAAAAAATTTGGAAATTTCTTTTCGATTAACATCGCGAGCAATTTAGTCTCGAATCGCGCGAGTAAATACGATTTTGTGTAAAGAGTTGTGAAAAAATATTCTTCTATGCTGCACATTTTTAACAATTTTTTTTTTTTATGCGTACAAAACTAACAGCGGTATTTAAAAGTCGAAATATCAAGCGGAAATCAATTTGCGATATTTGTCGATCAAGGAAGCGGAAACTGTGGCAACGTTTTTTTTTTTTTTTTCCTGTCGTGCAATCTCTGCCCGGGGCAACTTGACGCACCTGCGATCCACCGCTGTGGACTCAGAGAAATTGAATTCAGCAAGGATAGTCGGTCGAGTGTCCGTGTAGACACATGTACCATCAAGAACGGGCGAGTGAGAATGAGATCGCCGCTGGATCTCCGGTGGAACCGCTCCGGGAACGGTAATTACAGATCAGTAAATAGCCCGTTAATAGCAGTCAAGTGAACGAGAATGCGGCGATCACGATGCGGCGCATTCTTGCATGTGCGCTTTCGGTTTAACGTTAAATTGTTTCGAATTTTGTTTTTGTTTTCTTTAACAATTTAACTCCGTTTTTTTTTCCTGAAAAAATTCAACTGAATGTTCGTCGACAATAGGTACAGTTTCGATCAATCACTTTGCAAGACTTCCTCCTCTCTGACTCCTTTTGTATTTATCGACGACATGTGAGACTCGCGCGCGCGCGCGCGCGTGCGTGTGAACACAATGCATAAAATTAATCGAACTCCTCGATTCAACTCTATTCAACGTCCGCGCCGAGGAACGTCGTTTGTGTATCTACATGAGTGAGGCCCTCGTATTTCTCGTCTCGTCGCTCTGTCACTTCTGGAGAACTCAATGACGGAAATAGATTCGAAACACAGAGCGCTGAGTGATCGCGCGAGGGTGGAGCTAATGATTAATCGGGACGCTCGGGAAATAGAATTATTGTGTCGTGACAACAATAAATGATGCACGCACAATCACCGCGCCGAGCCTCTTGTCGTCGGCCGAGTCCGCCGCCACTTCGCCAACTCGTTCGCCGTTGCATTGTTTTATTTCCCGAACGGGAGAGCGCGCGCGAGAAAGAGAGAGAGAGAGAGAGAGAGAGAGAGAGAGGTCGAACGAAACGCGGCAGAGTTTGCTGGATCCTCTGCGCCTCTTGTCGGCCGGTCGGTAAACGCTTTTCTCGCAGATACGCGCGCGTGACCCGAAACGACGCGCCAATTTGTTGAATCGCGCGCGAAAACAAAAAAAAAAAAAAAAATTTCCCGCCTGCACTCTCGACTACTTGCAACGCGAGCGCATTATTCCCGCGTCGGGACGCGTGATTCATTCAAAAAGCTTTAATCCCATCACCGCTGCTTTTCACTTAATTGCTTTTTCTCCGTGTTATTCGCGCGGTACGTGTGTTGGTCATTACGTTAATTCCGCGAGCGAAACAAGAAGAGCCGGCGACGTGAAAATAATAATCGCGATATGCGGAGAAAAAGTGGGGGTTTAATGAGTTTTCGGACGATTTACAAACGACGATTTCGCGCGCGCGACGATAACTGTGTGTATACCAACGCGCCGCGGGTCCGTACGCGCGACGACGGCGCGCGCTCACGTGAACGCCAGCGTTCACACGTGTTTTCCGTCAATGTCGGTTTTAATCGACTACGAGCGTTGTGACGCGCTCTCTCGTACGAGAGCTCTTGTATTCATTGCGTCGCATGAACGTCATAGCGGCGTGCACCATGCGCGATTTAACGCACCAACGAGATAAAATTCCGAAAGCGAGAGAGGGAGAGAGAGAGAGAAAAAGAAGAGAGAAAGGGAAAGGGAAGAGCGTTTAGACATTTGTCGAGGGGAACGGTCGAGAAATTTATTTTTCCGAGTGAAACCGGCTGCCGTTTCATATAGCGATAAAGCCACGCGCGTGGCTTACGAGATAAAGCGAATGTGAATTCGACGCATCCATATTCATCCGAGTTTTCGTAGAATCGCTACAAACCGTTGAAATAGTCAGCTCGAAAAATATTTTCTTTCAGTACGGGTATTCGCTCGCGCACAGACGCGGAACGACATTTTTATTTGCAAGTAAAAAAAAAAAAAAAAAAAAAAAAAAGAGAAAGAGAGAGGGAGAGAAAAAAAAGATAAACGCGATCCGAATAAGCCGAATGGAGTTACCGCTATTCACTCATCACTCCCCGCACGCGCGCGCACGCCTTGTCCGTTGCCATTCACGATATTTACGATCAGCTGTTGAATTGGATTAATCGGAATAATATAACGTATCGAAGCGAATGTGAACTCTCGAAACGAGCAAAGAGCAGCTCGCGCGAGAGGGTAGACTGATGAAATATTCTTCTAAATATCTCGCGGGATTTGCTGCTTGTTGCACGCGCACACATTGCGCATTGTATTGGATTTTCACAGCGATTATATTCACGATAAACAAGGGAGGGCTACAAATCAATTCGTACGATGAATAAAGTACCGGGATAGCCGTATACTTTTCAAGCGCGCGTTAATCATCAGAAATCTGCACCAAATTTATCACTAGAGAATTTTGTTATTCAAATGTTAAGTACGTAAATACGTTGTGATGACGGGCACATGTGAACACAAAATTTGCAATCAACGCTGACGCTAAATAATAACGTGTCAAAATCACAGATCCAGGCCCGCCCGACTTACTTTAGACGTAACACGAAGTGACGGAAGTGCTTCAAAACCGGGCTGTGTTGGATAATCTCGATAGAAGCGTGATAATTTGATAGCCTCACGGCCAAAGCAAACAGGAAGAAGATAAACGGGATGCTGACCTCGAGGGTCATTCCAAACGGTTACTCCATTATATAGACGCAACGAGAGAGGAGAGAAGAGAGAGAAAGAGACTGGAAACAAGTGCGTAGGTGTATGTGTGTGTGAACAAACATCATTTCTGTACGAGAGAGTGTAAAGAAATTTTAATTAAATCGAGTATATGTGTACTATATGAGAATATATATGTGTATAATATACAATAATGAATATACACACGCATAATATAATAATAATGAAACGTTTGCTTTACAAGCTAATTCTTTGAAGATAATTTCACGTTGTTATAAGTTTTTTAAACAAAAATTTATCTCTTTTCTCTTCTCTCTTTCTAAAAAAATTTAAGTACCATAGGCGTATATTGTATATTATCATAAATACATATTATTATCATAAATACACATCACTTTCAGCGGATGTAATCATTATGCAATGATGACATCGCGTGCACAATAACCATTTACAAGATTTGTGATTTGTGTAAACACAATTAGCAGAACGTATTGTTTTTAATATATTTCAACGAATAAGCTTTTATATGTATATATGCGATGATGCCCTACA